TGGTTTAGAAAGCCAAAAAAGAATGAGACATGAAAGAAAGATTATCTATATACTGTTTCGATCTCCTGCATGATTAATTATTAAAGATGTCCAATCAAGGAGTCGTCTATCAGATTCTGTTAAAAAGTATTTAAATTCAGATAACATAAAAATCTCATAACAGAATCGATAACTGTGACTGTCTGATTTGGATACCAAAAGTGAAGGAATTTTGAAAAAAAGGTCTCACCGAGTAGAGTATCGAACTATTGGATTCAGAGTCCAATGCCCTTACTACTTAGATATTAAACTCTTATAAGATTTTGTTTGAATAAATTTTAATGATAAGTAATTAATATATGACAATAATATTGATTGAATAGTAATAATATATGATGAAAATGACAATTTTTTTTTTTTATATTTGAATGATTGTGTATTAATGTATATTAATGACAACTATTTTGTTTAGATGACAGAATATTATACTTGTATTTTCAATCAAATTATTAATTTATATATATTTTATTATATATAATAATAAATAATATATAAAAAATATATAATTAAAAAAATAAGAATATAATTAAATTTATATTTAAATAAATAATTATTATATATAATTAAATTAAATTTTTATATTTAATAAAATAAATAATTATTATTTATATTATTATATTAATTTAATTTTAATAAAAAATAAAATTATTTATATATTAAAAATTATAATTATATATTATTATATTAAATTTAAAATTATTTTAAAAAATAAAAATTAAATATATTTTATAAAAATATAATAATTTATCTGTCACCTAATAATGTAATAATTTTTAAAATTTATCTAAAATATGTGAATATTACCGTCTCGTCAAATTGAAAGTTTTAACAAATAAGATTTTATCTAAGATGAGGAATTCTCCGCTTCCCCACCTTCTTCTCCGCATCCAACAGCCCACCCCGGGAATACTTGTTCAACAATGGTCTATTGCTCTTGCCCCGGTCACTACTACCCTCCATGCCATGTCAACTGTTGTGCCACCACTAACCTCCGTCTCTGCTCCTCCTCTTCGTCTACCTTCCAACTATCCTATTCTGCACACCATCAAAACCCCACCAGCAATGAGCCACCACACCCCACTCTCCGCACACATAACTCCAAATCCACTTCTTTCGTGCTTCACCATCTTTCTCACACTCATCAACAACCTAATAAGCGATATCCACAACCACCAGAGCAACTAACTGAACCCGCCTCTACTCTTACCACTATCCCACCAGAGGAAAAAGCCAAGCTCCTTCAACTCTCCCTCGTCACCAAACGAACCCCACAATTCCCGGGCTCTATCTATGCTCAATCCCCTTCCGACCTCGACGTCACCTCTTCTCTCCCTCCTCTGCAGACCCTTTTCACTCCCAGACGAGAAGACGGAGAAGAACATGCGGATGACCAAGAGACGATTTTGAAAGCACTTGAGATTCGAAGGAAAGTGACTAAAGAGATATTTAAAGATGCCATGACGAGAAAGGGTAAGTTTGGGATCACGTATTCCACGAATTTGGTTAATATGTTGGGTGATTTTATCGATCATGTGATGATTGAGGCGGCGGCATTGAAGCGGCTGCCTGAGTTTTCCGAGTCCACGTTTAATGTTCGAGCTAGGACTGTCATACACGACTCTAATGTTGTTCCTCTTATAAGGTAATATCCTCACAGCCAACTACTCCTACAAATTATGAAAATTTTCATATTGTTATGTTTGCAGCTCTTTGACAGTCTACAGTGTTTGCGGGATGTATAGCTTTGTTAAGGAATGATTACGAACTCATTGAATCGTTACAAAATTATCCAAAACCCACATTAGAAATTTATCTTTGATGGCTTGTTGATGTGAAGAAGATAAAGAGAGTGGAAACTTTTATTTTATTGATTGTGAGTTTTGGAATATAGGTGGTTGAAGCACAACGACTTGTCATATCCTAAAATTGGAAAGCTCATTTGCTCCACAAGGGGAAATCTCGACTCAATAAGACGTCTGGTTGAGTGGCTCAAGTCTATCCATGTGAAGGGTGAATTTCTTGGGGTTGTGCTTACAAGATCAGGTGATAATATCTTGGAGCGTTCAGATGCAGAGTTAGATGAACTTGTTGAGTATTTAGAGAGTACGGGAGTGAGGAGGGATTGGATGGGTTTTGTGATGAGTAGATGTCCTGAATTGTTGTGTTTCAGTATGGAAGAAGTAAAAACTCGGGTGGAGTTTTACATGGATATGGGAATGAATGAGAAGGATTTTGGCACTATGGTCTTTGATTGCCCCAAGGTACTTGGCTTCTTTACCTTGGAAGACATGAGCCAAAAGGTACTCATTCCTGGACTCTTTTACAATCCTCGGCTCAGATGTTGGTCTGTTGAATGTGTGCTACTTGCATTTGTCCCATTGTTTTCATGAATATTTTTTTAAGTACAAGTGCAGGTGCAATCGCATCTTTATCATATCCCTTCTATTTCAGAAAATTTTGGTTCGATGTACTCCTATTCACATGGTCTAGCTATAAAAGTGAGATGTTGCTCTTGCTCATCCAGGTCCATTATTTGAAGGAGTTTGGCCTTACTACTGAAGAAGTGGGGAGATTACTTGCATTTAAGCCACAATTAATGTGTTGCAGCATTGAGAAAAAATGGGAGCCTCTTCTTAAGTATTTATACTATCTTGGAATTTCCAGGGATGGAATGAGGAGAATGCTTACTATAAAACCCATGGTTTTCTGTGTTGATTTGGAGACAACCATTGTGCCAAAGGTATACTGTTTACGGGTGGATAATAGCTTCAACTTAATTTTGAGTGCCAGTCTGCTGTTTAGCTTTTAGATTTATATATTCACATAATAGCTCATAAAATGAACCAGAAGTGTGTTTTATCTTACACTATTAGGCAAGACTGTTGACACAAGTTTGTTTTCTGGTTTGAAGGTGCGATTTTTTCAGGACATAGGCATTCCTGATGATGCTATAGGCAACATGCTTGCAAAATTTCCTCCATTATTAACATACAGCCTTTACAAGAAAATTCGGCCAGTGGTTTGTGCTTGGTCTTTTGCTGATTTTGTTGTGGCTTCCTTTTATTTCCTGTCTTGCAGAGTTGTGTTGTTGACTCGAGCTTCAGTTGGGGTATTGTTCCATAAAGAAAGCATAGAAGCTTCCCGCTCTTGTAAATGATACATCTTGTTTTTTTGCAATATGTTGTATTCATACAGGTCGTATTCTTAATGACCAAAGCTGGAGTAAGCGAGAGGGATATTGGGAAAGTTATAGCATTGGGCCCGGAACTCTTGGGATGCAGCATAGCAAAGAAACTTGAGGTCAATGTGAAATATTTCTTGTCACTTGGCATTCGACTTCAGCAGCTAGGTGAGATGATTGCTGACTTTCCCATGCTACTCCGGTACAATACAGATATCCTCCGTGCAAAGTACCGGTATCTTCGAAGGACAATGGTCCGCACTTTGGAGGATTTAACTGAGTTTCCAAGGTGAATAGCATCACTATATCTGTGGTAACTCTTAAAGTCAGCCATTGTACTATGGTTGAATCAAATTCATCACATAGTCATCTTAATTTAATTATCAGTAGAACTATAATGAAAATTTGGGAACTTATTCTTGTCAAAATTCTAGTATTTCTTATGTTTCATATATTCTTCAGTTTTCTTTTCTAGACAGACTAATGGAGCAAATATTTCAGGTTCTTCAGCTATTCCTTAGATGGTCGAATAATACCAAGACACAGGATTATGGTAGAGAATCGGGTCAATTTTAAACTGCGCTACATGCTGGCTTGCACCAATGATGAATTCAAGAAGAGGGTTGAAGATAAGGTGGAAAGGCGGTGTAGGTTTGAAGCCGGTACCACCACCGTGCATGATGATCTGACAAACTCCTATGAGGCTGATGATGACCCCATGGGAAGCAATGAAATGGTTGATTTCTCAGAAAATGAAGATTCTTTCTGTGACTGATCATAGTCAATTTCTCAATACAGATGACGGAATAAGTTTGTGAAACTGAAGATTATAAACTTTATTGTCCTTTTCGATGTAAATGGAAGACACTGGCAGTAACTATTTTCTCTCACAAGTAACAGAATGTTCATGTGTATGCTAGACGAAGTTTAACCTCAACATATTTATCTTAATTTTAATTTTTAATTTTTCTTTATTTCTGTAGTAATTTGTTCTGTTAATCCACGGCAACAACTGGTTTATTTGGATAAAATTTTCTTTAGCTCTTATAGCATTATTCAGTTATCAGTACATAACCTAATCATAATTTTAATTCATCCATCAATTTAGTTTGCATATATCATTGATGTTATAATAATTAATTGGAAAATATAATAAGAAATAAAATGTCTTGAGCTGCATGGCATATGAGTTAACACTTCATGTGTTGATTAACAAGTAAATTCATCTAGGGGATTTGAATTGGTTTCCGACACATCTAAATAACAAAATCCATATGAAAAACATCACCACTTGTTACTCAACCCAAAGCACTGACAACAAGATTCAAGCTGCCGCTGTCTTCAACTCAGATGCCGTGGCAACTGCATATACAGGATGAAGCTGATGACCTTCCTTAGGCTCGACATGCACCCACTTCCGTCCACTCAGTTTGTGATGCTCAAACTTAACGCAGCCCTCTTTCAAAGCATATAGCGTGTGATCCTTCCCAATCCCTACATAATTGCCAGGATGGAATCGAGTGCCCCGTTGGCGTACAATAATGTTTCCAGGTATTACTCTCTAACAAGTGAAACAGAGAATCAGTAGATCAATTTTCTACGTCTCACTACATAGCATTGAGTAATAGGATTTCTCACCTCTCCACCAAATTTCTTCACCCCAAGGTTTTTGGGCTTCGAGTCACGTCCATTCTTGGTGGATCCTGCTGTCTTTTTGGTAGCCCAGCGCCTGAACATCAGACTCAAGCCTCCTCCACAAACATCTATATTGGGTTTTGGAAAACATCAGAACAAGTAGGCAGATATCCTCTCCTTTTTTCCAAATAAAGAAAATGCTAAATAAAAAAAAAAAAAATTATAAATTTGTACCACTAGCACCACTATAGACAGGAACACTTGTGACCAAGTCTTTAAGACTCATTCTTTTGCATAGTGATGTTCCAAAATTCATCATGTCAATTTGCAATGACAACCCTGCAGAAAGTAATCATCAATGAGATATAAGACAAGGGGACACAAGGTGACTTAGAACCATATAAGATTTGATCATTTGTGCTCTTATTTCAGTTAGACTTATGAAATAGTACAACAGAGCAAAGAATGCATCCCGACCTCACCCCTGAAAAAGAAAATGATTAAAAATGAAAGGCTTCTATATCTCTTACTCATGTGCCCCCGGCACCTACAGAGAAAGGCCACAATTCACCACTTGTTTAAAGGTTGACATGTCTATATTACACGGTAGGATAAAAACTCAAGAACAATAACCACCCACTTTCTAGATCTACTAGAAGAGGAGCTGCTACAGCAGAAACTTCCACATTTCTCTCCATTGACACACCTAGCCTCTGACTATTCAGGGTTCCAATATTTGCAGTCGATTCTACATTTATGTTATAAAAGATTGACATACCTAAAATACATTTTAAGCTGAAGAGCAAGAACAAGACACTTTTTAAATATTCTAGAAATAAAGCTACTATGACAGAAACTTGTAAATTTCTCTTCAATGATGTATATATCCCTTTCCAATTTGAAGATAATCCTCTTTCATGTCCAGTGCTTCTTGTTTTCTACATTATATAGTACCTACAGTCTCATGCTTTAGCTTGCAGTATGAGCTAGTGACAAAGAGCATCCCTTCACATTTAGCCTCCGATCCTATACTTTTAGATAGAAAGAAACTAACCTCCACAACAAAAAAAAAAAAAAAAAAGTAAACCAGAAACAATTCCCTTCAACAACGTCCAATCCTTCTACTTCTTTTAACAAAAGGAAAATCAACCTCCAATCTTCTATTGATAAAACCTAAATTCAGAAGCGGAAAAACTCTCTGAAACATACTACGAACAAACAACAAATGAGCAACAAAGGCATCATAGCATCCAAAATCAAATAGTTATTATAGGAAAGACAATGAACCAGTAAACATTAAACATAAAGGAAATTATTTGGAAAAGATTAGGACTTAAGTAAACTCAATTGAGCCGTTACCAGCAATACAGATATTAACACAAAGCAAAGCGATTAGAAACTGCCAAAAAAAAAAAAAAGGAGTAAATCACATAATGTAAAGAGTTATTTATGCGAAACTGGAAGCAAAATTTTTTGAGAAAGTAACAAAAATATGATGTTAACAAATTATTTTAAGTGAAACTGGAAGTAAATTTAATAGCGGTGACAGTGATGTTTGAGAAGAGAAGAACAGAAAAGCTAAAAATTGGGGTTAGGGTTAGGAGTTCGAGAAACTCACGGTAAACAGTAACGATTCGTCAGCCAGCGTCGCCGCCGCTTCTCTGGTAGCAAAGAGAGCAAAGGCAGTGATTGAGAGGCGGAGGGGAAGGAGAGGCGCTGCAGCCAGGAAAGAGAGAATTGAAAAGAAATGGTAGTGGGATTCTTCTTACTTCAAATTTATCGTTAATATAATTTAATTACCGGGTAAATTTTCTTTTTATAATCCCAGTGATCTGGGGTGGGGTTACAGGGTAAATTCACAAGTATTTTTATCTAATAACTATAATTCAAACAATTTATTACTGTAGCAAAAACAATAATTTATTTAACTAATTAATGTATTAAATTTTTATTTTTAATCTTTCTTATATTGTTTTTTGTTTTAAAGATAATCTTATAATATATATTTTCAGTAAAATATGATCTAATCCCATGTAAATATATTATAATACACCAGATTCAAAAGGTTATAATTTCCATACAAGAATATATATTCTGATTTCAAATTGAAATATACATTTGGTATAGTTTTTTACTCCAGACATAAACCCATCCAGAGTGAACTCAATTATCTGGTGTTATCTTTTTCAATTATGATTCACCTCAAGCAATTTAGTCCAAGAGGGGCAACTAGGCACATAATCCAAGCTTTAACTCAAGGAGAATATGTTTCACTCTGAAACTTCTGGGTATTTATGGATCGTTAACCATGTAATAAGTAAAAGAGATGGCAAATTGACACAAAACAGTTTATAGAATCGACAAATGCATGCGACTGACTCGACACTCCAAAACCAAAATTTGCCACCTATTCATGAACCCAAAAAATCTAATCCGGTAGTTAGTCTTTTCCTTGTATTTCTGGGACGATCGTGTTTCTTCGAATAAATAACGTTAAAGAAATTACGGGAGATACAAAAAAGAAGAACATTGATTTAGTTGATTCCAATGCGGCAGACTGGATTCCTTTTAATGAGGTCAAGATCAACCTGCAAGATCGATAGATATTAAGTAAGATAACTTGTTTCAAAGAACATCTTGTATCGTCAATCTCTAGCAGTTGGGGAAAGCATTAGCCTTGTACCTTGTGGCCAAATAGATCTCGGATGTTATCAATCCCATACAATATCATGGTCGGTCTGGTTCAAAAATGTTAAAAGACAATATCAACTATTGGTCAGTGCTTAAACTAGGAGAGTTCATGTTGTCACTTGATTATATTGACTGTCATTTCTAGACCAAAAGAATGTTCTTACCTTTCCAAGGAAAGACCCCATGCAATGACTCGAACATCTTCTGGAAGTCCCATTGGAAGCAACATTTCTGGTCTAAACATGCCAGAATTACCAATTTCCACCCACTTCCCCAAACCTTCATGATAACTTGAAAAAGGAGAAGATCTATCATAAATTTTGAACTATTAACATTCACCAGCTCCCTTAATGAAAAATACATCAATAACTGCTACCTGAATATTTCCATGCTTGGTTCGGTATATGGATTGTAAGCAGGCTTGAAACGCAATTTCGACATTCCTGAGAAAGAAATAAAATCAATTAAAAATGATCTCCGCCAACATTAAAGTAATCTAATTCTTGTCAAATGGATTATTAGCACGGTTACTGATACCAGGCTACAACAGTAGACCTCAATTAAAAAAAAGAAAAAAGAAAAAAACCAAATAGAAACTAACAACTTGTGTATTGGACCTTAAGAGATCCAAACAAAGTACGAACGTATTCAGAACTGAAGCATAGAAGCAACGGAATTAAATCTGAAGCAGGGTTCTGGTTGATTACCTAAACGTGAGAAAAAGTCATGTAGCACTCCAATCAAGTCACCAAGAGTAAGCCCTCGATCACAGACCAGACCTGATACCAAAAGCAAAACGAAAAAGCTCATTGAGTTGGCACATATAATTCAAATAAAGCCAGTCTAAACCAAGACACGGCTGATTCAACGACAGCTTGGATCTTTTTCTATTCCATATGGTCACAGCATTAACCTCGATGTGGCCTGTAGGACACTATCAACAGGAAAATGATTTTCCTCTCTTTCATAACATAATAAAGTGAAGAATTACTTCCAGTTAAATTGAACAAGGTCCGAACTAAGAACTTGCAATCCAACATGAGAAAGTTGAGAACTCTGACATCTTAGACACATGAAAATATGAATTTATTCATACCATGCCATACCCAGCTCCCATTTCTGGAGTTGAGGTCAGTGGCTCCTAATCTTTCACTCAAAGTTCATCCACCACTTGATAGAGAAGGTCTTTCTTTTTTTTTTTTGGGAAAGAAAAAGTATAGTATTCAAAAGTACCAAGAGAGTGCAACTTGTATATTAAAACTTTACAAATTTATCAAAATATCAATTAGGTCTCCCAAGTCCTCACAGTTATAAAGAGGATGACTCTTGATAAAAAACCTAAAGTCTGGAACCAAGTATCTCTAATTCTAACAAAAGACAATCCTATACCATCAAAAGTTCTTTTGTTTCTTGTAGTTTGGAGGGAGAGGAATGCTAGGGCTTTTGAAGGTATTGAAACAGACACTGTAAATATTAGGGATAGATGGTTCCAAACTTTTGGTTTTATTTTGATTGGTCATGACATAACTGATTGAGAAGATTTTGGAGCTGTTATGAACCACCTGATAGACTGTTAATTTTATATTTTTTGGGTGGTACTCCCTTGGTACCTTTGTGCATAATAATATTACTTCTCTTTTATTTCAAAAAAAGTTTTTTTGTTTCTTTCTTTTCGAATAATTCATAAGGTAGCCAAAGGGGATAAAGCCTAAGTTCTTTTTTTTTTCTTAAAAAAAAAAAAAAAAAAAAAGAAAAAGCCAAACACCACTTCACCCCCAATCTACTCTAAGCCAACCACCAAAGCTAGTAGGGAAAAAGGACAACAATGCAAGAGAAGATGCTAGACAGACTCTGCAACTCTCTTGCATAAGTAGCATCCATTCACTATTTCCCCCTTCTTCATTGGTGGTCTATAGCTAGTGTACAACCTCTCACTGCTTCCCAGACAAAAAAAAAGCTCCACCTTGATGCAACCAGTGGGTAACCTTCTCAAATTCTCTTCTCTGCACACCCTGGCGCCTTGCAAGTGACTTTTCATACTTTCATTTGAATATAAAAAGATGTTTCATGTTCCAGATTGGTCACATAATTAGAAAGTGCCAAACTGTCCATGGAATTTTGAATTCTACAAAAGCTTAACCTAATATAAACTCAGATTTTAAGCTAATAATAAAGGAAGTCCCAATCACAAGTGCAATAAATTAGCTTTAACAATACCTTCTATCTGATGGAACTCTGCAAGATGTGTTCGGTCCACAGCTTCATTTCTGAAGACACGGTCTATGGAGAAGTATTTCTTTGGAGCAAAAGGTTTCTGTACACAAGATCAATGAAGAATGGATGCAGATATCTATAAATATAATGAACAATATCCTGGCAAATAACTGACAACACAAAATACAAGATCTGAAAAAGTTATAGCCAAATGAAAAAACAGCACAGGTTTCACTTAGTATATATACTAAAAGGAGACTGTAAAGTGTGTGCGCCACATGGTCACATAGAATAGGGAGGCCAGAAAAAATCAAGCAGAGCCAAATACTGTGACAAGAGAGGACACTGCAGAGAATAAAGGTTACATCTTTTACATTTATGCTTTTTTTCAATGAAAAACTAATTTATACTTATGAAGGAAAGGCATTACAAACAGAAGAGTCTACCTGAACTGTTTTTCCACAATAGTTACTTCAAAATAAGATTTCCATCTTTCAACAAATGACAAGATGCAGATATTTTGGTTGGAAAATGATCAAAATGCTAAGCATGATTGCAAGAGATGGTGGCAAGAAATCAGATTACTACCATTCTAATTCCATTACTAGGCACACCAGCTGGACAGAGTATTTCAATTAAGAAACCAGAAGGTAATGCAGCAAGAGCAAAAAGAAGCACCAAGATGAGCTTGAAATTCTTTTCTAGATTTATATAGCCATAATATGTGTGCATGAGATACCCCTAGACTTGGGAAAAATGGATAAAACAGAACATGATCAAAAAATAATTGAAATATAATCAAACCTGTGCTAGTACATAAAGCATTCTGGAGGAAACAGCAGTGGTGTGAGTACGCAAAAGGTTTTTGTTTGCTTCCTCTCTTTTCCATTCATATCCATATCTTTATTTGAAAAGAAAAAAGGAATAATCAAATGAATAAGAATAATTCTTCAATGCCTGTAGAGACGAAATATCAAAAGGAAAATTAGGGTTAAAAAGTCATACCCCCTGGATCCATAACCACCAGACTCGTGAACACATTTAACCCGCTCAACATAATCTTCAGGTAACGTTCTTGTAGTGGAAGGAGCTATAGACATACATGCCAAACATTTTCAGAAGGAGATTGGAGATTGGAAGGAAAAATTTAGTAATTAAGAGTTCAAAACAGATTGAACCTTTTAGAAAGAATGTATCATGTGAATCACGAGCTGGGTGTTGCTGTGGCTGGAACAATGCATCAAAGTTCCAGAAACTACAAGTTCAAACAGAAGGGTAATATCATTATTTCCATATCTCATTTCTAAAATCATAAACTATAAGTATCCAATTTTCATGAGAGATAAGGATGGGCTAATTTGGCAAGGTTTTCTTAAATCTATCAGTAACAGAAAAATTACAAGAATTGAAAAATTGGTTTATGACAATCTGTCCAAACATTCTTAAGACTGCAATATTAATGCAATCAACTAGATGCTTTTAATCATAATGTAATTACTAAGACAAAATGCTAAAAATTATATCAGATTTCAAAAGCTAAATAAACATTCAACTTATGACAGAAAAACATGTCAATGGAGAAGGCAAGATTGTCCACCTGCTTTCGACAAAATTGTTTGTTGGCATCTCCTCAAATCTGCAATTAGTTAAATAGACTATCCATGAATATGAAACTTGAATAGAAAATTGGAACTAAACTCAATAATGCATTAATAGCATACCCCATCTGAAGAAATATGTCTTTTAACTGCTTCCGCACCTGAAAACATATAAACCACAAAAATTTAAATTTTAAATCAAAAGAGATTATATGGCGATCCCAAGCTAAATAATACTCTATGCATCAGTCAATTTTCGACAAAATATTTCAAAACTATACATATGCATAAACACATGTATGGTGAGTTATTTTTTTAATAATAACAAGACATCCCCAGTGACATATCCATTTTGCTGCATAATGACTGAAAGATAATGGTATCCTCATTTGAAGCAGAAATTATCACAGGCGTTCTTGCCTTTCATGCCTTTCAATTTATAAATATCAATGGTCAAGGTTGATTGACTTTCAAATTTGCATATGCTACATAGTTTAATTAACACATGGTTCTTGCTGTAGTCATAAAGTGGTAAGGTTATTCATGACCAAAAAACTTCAGCAGGGGATCCTCCTGAGTGGTTGATTTCAATGTCAACATGTTAAGCCACTATCAACTAGTTAATGAACAATTGAACATAACTCTCAATTACTCTAATGAAACTTAAAAGCCTAATCCCATCACTAATTACATGATATAGTGCCTAAGGAACTGTTAATAGTTTTCTTCTGACCAAACAGCCATTTCACTCCAGAGAATAGATTCCTATTAACATTATTGAATTTGGTGTATTTAGCAACAGTTTTAACATCAATCAAATAAACTGTAATTGCAAATGAGACTAAAAACAAAGGAAAGTAGTTTCATTCTTACCTTGAGTAGAGGGTGAAGATGGCCTGCTTCAGCAGGCTGTCCTTTAGCATTGAAGTTATACTCTTTGAATTCTAATTCTTTCCAGTCCCCCCTTAAAATACAACATTACATTCATTAATATGTTTAAACAGCCAGCAGCATCTCCACGAATAATTATCCACTTCCATGTTACTCAAATTAGATGCACAGTTGGGAAACTAAAGAGAATGTATTCAAATATTTTAACCAGAGAACTGTCTTTGACTCTTCATAAACATTGGCCGAGGTGTCCAAGGTATGACCAACTGGTATAATATATTAGCTCCAAATATAGTAATTTTTACTTCCCAGCTTTATTTTAGGTGTTAGTAGGCAGGACACTGAACTCCTGGAAAATAGAAATTATATTTTGTAGGGCAGTACCAAGCAAAAATAGGACAAAACCATTAAGCATAACACCGATTCTAAAATTTCACCACCTAATATGTTCTAATTGCTTAAACTTAGCAGCACAAACTCACTGTAGACAATCTGCATCTTATTTAGCAGGAAAAAGACTTGGGCCATACTATATTCATGAAAAAAGATGTTGAACTACATGACCAAGATATATAATTTGCAACACAGAAAAAAAACCATGGATATTCTCATATCATCTAAACACCAGAAAGGTACCTCTGGAGATTTTCACGAGTCAAATCAGTGGCAACTTTCTTTCTTTTTGGAGCATAATTGGGTCCTTTTCTCAATGAGTAGCCCTTCCATGTCCTGGAAAGGAATTGAAACAATAATGTGAGAGAACATGAGCAATATCAATAATGCCAAAAGGTTAGGCACATTTCTGTTTGAAGATGGGAACCAACACTAGTTCCCAGACCGAATCCCAGTAACATCCAGAAGAAAGACTCAGATCCTAACCAAAGAAATGAAGAGAACTAGAAAGGAAACTCAAAATAAATCAAGAAAGATCAGATAAAATGATTACTGAGAAACAATAAGCTTTCTAGCTTTGAGAGCATTGATTCCATCTTTGTCAATTGCCTGGAGACAAGTTGAACCTAGTTAGTAAAATTAAGATGCGAATTCAAATAGGATTTGTAAAATTCAAATACATGCAAAAATACGTAAAGGCAACCTAAAAATAAGTCTTGGTAGGTATTCCATCTTGCCCAACATGTATGGTCAAGTTGTCTCGCCTATTTTTATGCAACCTTGTCCGAGACTTCATGGCCTTTTTTTCTTCTTTTTTTCTTTTTTAAATGCAACCTTGTCTTGCCTTTGTAGTTCTAGGGTTCACAGTTACAACGTAATAAGTGGCAACCTGCCATATGCTATCCATAACTTGTCTGGGTGGTAGAAGAAAATACTAGCATGTCCTCAGTAAGGGAATTAATCATTTAAGAAGAATTTGACTCTTAATCAAATAGCTTGAGGTCAAATCCTTAATGGAACTTTCATTTTCTTTAGAACTTTATTTTGCATTTTAACACCTTCTTCTTCAAAAATCCATCATTGAAGCTCCCAAGAAAATTGCGAAAGTAAAACATGGTTTATTATTAACTGATATAAGACTGACATTAAATATTCACACCTGTCCATCTTGTATCCGCAAAAGTAAATCTTTCACCTTGTCTTCCACATGTTGAACCTACAACAAACTAATCACTTAAGAATAACAGTAACAATGAATAACTAACGCATCAGAACCCACAAGTGCAACTTATACCAAACAAACGCATTAAATTTTGAAAAAAGAAACCTTACTAACTCCAAGCATGTAAGTTATTTAAAAACAAAAGCAGTTATGAGAAATATTCGCCATAAAGCATTTAGAAAATACATCCAAGAAAACTGAAAGCCCCACTAAGTAAACAAACAAAATAAAGAGTAAAAATTCTTGAGTCCAACTGCCTAAAACCTAAACCAAAAAGGTCAATTCCAAGTGTGTTACCTTCCTGGATACTTGCTTTCCCATTTCCACCCATTTATTTTTCCCAGCTTGTGAACAACCTATTTTGAACACTGAGGGATCGAACATTTTCTGCAAAAATGTAGGTTGCCACCAAAAACGTATTAAGACTTGAGGAGCTACTACAATAAGTGTTAGCACGAAACCATAAAATGTTTGTACCACTATTTCTAACACTTGAGGCAAAAATTAGTTATAGAAAAGACACCAAAACCTCCAACATTGCCATAACAGAAAACAGTGATACTTTAAGAAGGGTGGTAATACCTGAAGTTCATCTTTTGATATGCTACCCTCTGGAGGCACAGCCAAGAACAGCTGTACCTCAGGTGATCCTTCAGCGGTGTATTTTTTTCCCTCATCTGTAAGCACCCACGCCTCCCTTTTAATGTCCTGTACAACATTTAAGTGAGCAAAATGACCCACAATTCAATTTGAATACGTCAACTAAATTCCGCCATATCCAAATTAAGTGGATAATCCAGATAAGAAACTTCCTTATGTTAACTATTTTTTTGAAAAAAGAAATCTGCTTAGATATGAACTATTATCAAGCTTTATAGTTGTCTCAGAATAATAACAGAGAATGCAATGCATTAAGCATACCAGAGAAGGACATAAAGAAATGATAATAACACTATTACTCCTCTCGGATTTTCTCAACAACCAGACATAAATGAACTTTGCTTCGTATTTTTTTTTGGAGCCAACCAAAAGATACCAGAAAACAAAGAAAATGCAAAAATCAATTTAGCTCCATCCTGGATTATTCCAAACCTTCCCTTAAGCTACCGGCAACAGGTTCAGGATTACCCACGTTCACATAATGCACATATTTTTATATAGTGGATATTTACATATATAATTGAGGTAGTTCTGTGGTTGTCTACCGAAGGGAGTTACCTGGGCCTCGATGTAGCGGAAACCGTGTAGGCTCTTGATGACGTTGACAACATCGTTGTGATCGATGCCTCGAGTGGCTGCGAACTCACCGGAGTCTGCGATCTCTTCATGGTTCTCCAAGTATCCTAAGATCGCCTCCTCCGCCATGACTAGTACTGACTCGTGCCTTAACCCTCTTTCTCAGCGTTATATTTCATTAGCATTCCGTTTATTTTAACCTAGGAAGCAGTACCTCTGTTCGTCTGATTTCTTCTTTCTCTCTCTTTCTGTCTCTCCTCTTGCTTTTTTTTTTTCTTCTTCCCGCAGTTGTTATTCTTAGGAAAAGGCCGGGCTTCAGGGCCTGGGCTCTGGTATTATATTAATTAGACGGAAATCATAACAAACTTAATTATAAAATTATATACATAATTTAGGATTTAGTGGTGGAAGAATAAGAATTCAATTAAATTCAAATAACTTACGAGGTTGTTTTAATTTTAATGTCATTTGATTTTAAGTATTAATTGTCACATTAGTATTATTATTTTTAATCTAAATGTAAATTGCTTAAGGGTTAGGGCTTGGACTGTTTAAACCCCTAGGAACAAGAACAAGTGTTCAAAAGAAAAAAAAATCTCAACAAGCCGACCACCAACTTGTAATCTGATACCAGGAGTTGCAGCCATGTCAGAACAGTATCTTGCACTCCCCAACCACATCTTTTTTTTTTTCTCTTTTCCAAGTCAGAACAATATAACTCAATTTAGTGCACTGCGCCCCATAAATTTAGTACACCTTGGCAGGGTACGACAAACAATTCATCCCCATACACATGAAAGAGTAACTTCAGCATCAGCAAAACATTACTGACTCACAAAGCCAATAATACAAGTATTTTCAAGATCCATCCACTGGTCATTTTATTTTTCTGCAAAATTCAAGCCAAGAAAATCTGATTAACAGCACTGTCAAAGCAACATCAACGGTAGAGACTCTCAGATCTAAGGTTTTCTGCAATCTCAGTTTCCCAGCGATCCCCATTCTCAAGTAGCTTCTCTTTGTCATACAGAAGCTCCTGCAACAGAGTGAGAAAAAAAAAAAAAAAAAATTAGGCAGAAAGGGGGAAAAAGAAACTTAGGATTTGACTACTTCCATTATACCAACAGTGGGTTGCATGTTAAACCTCATGAGTCTCTGTTGCAAATTCAAAATTGGGTCCTTCAACAATTGCATCCACGGGGCAAGCCTCTTGGCAGAAACCGCAGTATATACACTTGGTCATGTCAATATCATACCTGGAAATTAAGCCAAATTAGAAGAAGAAAATAAGGGACTAAGGTAAGAGAGAGATAAAGAGAGATCCTTAACCTCGTTGTCCTACGGCTTCCATCTTCTCGCTCCTCTGCCTCTATCGTGATTGCTTGTGCGGGACATATCTGATAAATAATCCAACAAACAGTAACAACAACTAAGCCGACATTTACAAGGAATAATCTGTAGGTGGAGAAGAATCATTGATTTCATTTTTTAGACTAAGCAGTGGTGCTTTAGCCAGGGCAAAGGACTGCAAGTAACATATTAACATTAAATGTCACCCATTCAGAGTGTATATGCAGTTTACATACACAGTGCATATATAATTTGATATTTTGTATATGCAAGGCGCATATATGCAGTGTATATACAATATACAGTGTGTATATGAAGGGTATATATATAATATAAATTATATGTCTATGAATATAATAAAATATGCATATATAAATATATATACACAGAACACATAAAAATATATGCATGCATTTCTAGCAATAACAAGAATTTTTGAGTTTACTAGCATCAGAAACAGCACTTTGGTATTTTTATGGATCTACTTTAACTTCTTTCATTTGACTGCAATTTGGGGGAGTTGCATAACATTTAGTTTCTTTGAGAGAGGGAATTACAAGGTAATTAGTAGAGGAAAGTTCTTAACCTTACATTTTTATTATCCTGAAAACTCAACTTCCAAACAAGTGAAGGTAAATTGGTTTTCCATTCATTCACCTAGTTTCTCCTCCACCCAAACAGACCTTAATGAATACTGGAATTCATGAAAAAATACAGAGACAGGAACCCTGACATTGCCATTGTTGGTCTGGTCAATCTCTTCGGAGTGAGATCTCTTTTATACATGTGTGTTATCCTCTTGGTGACTTATAAACTAATTATTCTTTTTCTCTAAAAAAAGAAACCGTCGTATTGTCTGACAAGGTATATGTATTAGGGTTAAGAATAAATGCCAGAAATGGTAATAGCCTCTTCCCTCAGGAAAATTAGAGAAACATTGTGATAAGCTCCAATTAGGAATTTGTTACCACTATCACATATAACATTTGGTAACCCTCTATAAACCATAACCGTGCAAGAAAAGAGAAATAAAGTCAAAATGGAATTTGAACTTACAGCCTCGCAAAGTTTGCAAGCAATGCACCGTTCCTCCCCAGTTGGATATCGTCGAAGAGCATGTTCCCCACGAAAACGAGGGCTCAAAGGTCCTTTTTCAAATGGATAATTTATCTGTGAAGAAAAAGAAAACTTCAATACCATGCTTGGCAAAAACCCAAACTCAAAGAGAATTGTCGGCCGCACTTACAGTAACTTTTCTCTCAAAGAAGTATTTCAATGTAAGCATCAGACCACGAACCATTTCAGTGAGGAATAATGTGTTTATGCTGCGCTCAAAAACTACAATAATCCAAAACATCAGGAAACTCTCGTATAACTCAACTGAAAAATAAAGCAAAAATAAGACGATGGAAAATGTCAGCCAACAACATTACCAGAACTCCAGTCCTTGGATATCTCCTTAGCAAGTTGCTCTCTTTCTTCATCATCTGCAGATGACACAAGAAATGCTCCATAGCCCTCAAAGTCTTCTAAGATTTAAGCATGCAACTGATGATTCATGACTAGTATCAAAACATATAATTTGTATGCATAGACGCACTTGCAAGCACATTCTGCAGCAACTATGAACAGGATAATATAAACACACATATGAAAGAATTTGCAAACCCTTAATACTACTAAAAAATGAACACATGCATGACAGAAAATAAACCTTTTTTGGTGCTGAAGAAGTGTGCATCATATCGAAGTCCATAATTGGGAGAACACTGTAATGCTTGCCCTGAAACAGCCTACGGAAATCATAGTAGAAATGAATAGACAAATAACAAATAAGAAATTTGCACAACACACGGCAGACCAAAAGCTAATGGATAGGGATAAATAAATAAACCCTAAGAATTTTACAATCAGTAACGTCTGTGGTGGCAAATATTGTGATAAAGAGCATGCCAGTTGTGATAATGGTGTCAAAGGTTGTAAAAACAATGGTTACTGAAAAGCATAGGGTAAAACACAGATTCTTCTGCTAAATAACATAAAAGAAAAAAAATTCGAGGAATAAGAAACAACGCCAAATACAATAGTTCATCCAAAAGAAAGGGAAGAGAAAGCAAAACCAACGGAATAAACGTTAGACTTGGGCTTGCCCCCATTGCGTACTAAAGAGTATGGAATATGTACCCAAGAGCTAGAAAATCAGAACCCTAGAATTTTAATATTTTGTCAGTTTAAGTTTGCTGTCTGAACATGTATCCTAAACCTTTAACCGTATGAATTCCATGTTCTTTTCCGTTTCAAGACAAGGGATTAAGCCCGGGGACTTTACCTAAATCTCTACCCCATCAACCCACTTCTGTTGCCGATAAATTATGAAGGCGAAGGGAAAATGAAATAAAGCACACGAATCCCCTTGTAGCAAATCGTACGGCCCAACCAAATAAGAGGAGAAAGGAACACACAATTGCTAGTTATTTGTGCTATGTTCAGTATCAGGAAAACAATGAATTAACAGATTGTAAGCACAAAATCCTATCCAGATTAACATTGCCCAGTTGATTCCTGAAGTGCCTAGCATCCAAACAGAGAAAAGCAAAGGAGACACCATGATGGGTTTAGAGCAAGAGATTTCTTACAAGCTGTCGAGCCCGAAGAGCATTAAGCGACTTGCGAGCTAAGATCGTAGCCATCAGTGACGGTGCGTCCTATTGTTCTTCTTCGTTTCGATCTTGGTTAACAGGGATCTTCAAAAAATAAGCACGCCTGAAACTGGGAATAAGAGAAATAATTGGATCGAGCAAACTTGAGATGTCCGTTTGGGGTGGACTACCAAAACGGTGCGTTTTACTATCAGTCCCTTGATGGTTGGTTGGCTATTGGGCCGCCCGGCCCATCTTGCAACTGTGCCTGTAGGGTTTAAGAATGGCTCCCTACCGTCTTCGCGTTCCCTGGTTTGTTCAAACGCAGATAGTTTCTCTGTGCTCCAAACCAGAAATGGCGTCGTTTTGCAGATCAACAATAATGGCGGGTAAAAGATCTCTCTCATCTCGTTGCGCAAACCTAGCTCAAAAGTCTGTGAACCCAAAATCTATATCTTCTCCTCTATCTTCACCGCGAAGGTCCTATCCTTGTGCTTCAAGGTACGACACCCCTTGTTCTCTCGCGTAGTCTCGATGGTGAATGTTTTTTTGGTTCGTCTTCATTTTAGTTTTTCATTTTTTAGGTTCATATCGGTTTTGGGGGGTCTAGAAACTATGATGCCGCTTCACAGTGCCCTTGCTTCTGCTAGGCTGAAGTCGAGCATCGCTGTTGATTCCTCTTGTTGGAGCTGGCTTTCTCAGGGTAAATTTTCACCTCTTTTGGGTTATTGATTTCTTTGATTATTTGCTTACGGGTTTCTTTGATTCGATATGATTATGACGAAAATGTACTTTTTGTGTCTTTAATCCACTCAGTGTGGTACCATCGAAGGATATGCATGCACATAAAATAATGTGTTTTTGATAAGTTTTGCGCTTAATTCACTCTGTGACTCGAAGTGTTTGGTGGCTGATCTCATTATTGAAGAATGCTAAATTATCAGAATCTTCTGATGAAAGTTCTTTTGATTTTAAACTGAATTAGATAGAAAATTCTTTGACTGGCTAGGTGGCGATGGTTGTTGCCTCTAGCCTTGCCTAAAATGTTTTCTGACTTCTTTTTTACCTCTTGAAATAGGATTTGCAACACCGTTGTGACCAGGCTTGTGGAATCTATGTGGGAAAATAAGTTCTTAGGATTTTTCTTCAGTCTGGAAAAAGGATCCAAAATCCTTTGAATTTGAACGCTGATATTCCATTTCTGCAGTGTACGAATATTTGTCTACGAAGTTCACTGCTTTCCTGCATGTTATCTCCTACCAATTAATTTTTATTCTCGTAGAGAAAGACCTGGTGGATTCTTAATTGGACGGTGCTTAAGTCCTAATTCTTACAAACCAATACGCTCCATTTAATACCGTGGGAGGAATTTGATATTGTAGTCTGCTTATTAATTTAAGGTCCTTCTAAAATGATTTTTTTTACATACTTTCATATGTATTTTTTTACATACTTTCAAAATCCTTTGAGTTAAAATATATATTTGCTGTAACTTGTTCCCAGTTATGAGCACTTTCAGATCGTGGTATGTAAGGAAACTATACCTTGATAGCACTAAGTTTATTAAGCAAAATAATATAAATAGAATCTGGCCTGTTCTTTTTATCTCAGTAATGATGAGTCTTTATTATAGAATAACAGGATGGAGCCTAGTTGTACTTGGCCCCTCCTGCATTCTTTAAGGAATCTTATTGTATGTTTTTACTTCATGTATCCTACCTGCTAAACTTTGGAGACCTTGGAGATGCTTTCATGAGATTTTTGTAGCACGGAGACAGACAGGATGTAGTTTGTTTCAGCTTCAGGCTAGTGTATAGGATGAAAACAAGTTGTAATTTGTGCCCCATTAAATGAAATGGCATGTGAATTAGGTCATCCAGGCAAGTCAAATTTAAGTGAGAGCTTTAAAACGAGAAATAGCAGAAAGGATTTGTGTAAATGACCTCAAGAAGAAGGAAATAAGTCAAATTATAATTGTGTTCTGTTGCTCTGGAATTTGTTTTCATAAGTTGGCTGCATTAGTTGCTAATGATTAAAGAAGGGAGACACCTATTGCTTGAATCCTTTTGTGTGTATTGCAGATCCTTATTTTTATCGTGTTATGTTTTCTGGCATCCAACTCATTATGGTGAGAAAGAAATCTATAGATGGTTTAGAAGTGCATCTCGTAATTGAATTGATGATAACATCATTGTGTGAGTCCTGGTCATAGTTTTCTAGGTCACATTCAGTAAATATTGATGGCCTTTGATGATACGTATGCACCAAGGCTTTATGTTCTGTAGCTCATACAGGCATTTCTCATTCATATCTGAAGATCTTTAGTTGTTAGATTAAAATTTTAATCTCTGGCAGAAGGTCCCTTTTAAGTAGTTATTTTAAATTGAGGTCCAGAGCAGTGCAACTGGTTCTGTTTTCTGTTTGTTTCTCATCTGGAGTAAGATGTATTCGTCTTGTAAGTTTTTCCTCGGGGTCTGGGGGACATGCCTTTCATAAATGATTTGTATCTTATGTCTACTTGACTATCTCTTGCCTCTTAAAAAAGAGCCATTTCCAGTTACTGATCTTCCGTACTTGATTTATATTTCCTAGAATTTGCAGTTCCACGGTGACAAAGGCTAAAAGGTTCCAACATGTCGGATCTAGTGAGCATCATTTGAGTAGTTTTCTTCTACGTTTGCTGATCCTTGTGCCTTTTTGTCATTACTTCCTAGAACAATTATTTGGTGGAAGTCATCTCCTAGCATGGATGTTATGGCAGGATAGGTTATTGATATTCTATCCTTATGTTTTGGAGCACAGCAGATATTTGATTAGCAAAATGATGAGTGCCAAGACCTTTTTGTTAAATTCTGAATCAGTAAGAATTTGTGGTTTGGTGAGTGATCTCTCTGTTAGGACATACAGGTGTAGAGCAACATGAACAACCTTCCAATGTGATAATGTTGTTTATACAGTAAATATGATATTGTGCAACTTGGTAAGGAAGCAATTGTCTGTTTGTGTAAAAATGTAATATGGGGTTGTATAAGTTTTGATGGTAATGCATTCTATGAGGTATGTCAGTAGGAGTTTGAAAGAGATGCATGTTGATGACTAACTTTTCATACAAACATGGAATTGAAGTAAGCACGTGGGGTGGGACTCAAGTGCAAGCATGTGGTCTCCTCATATGTTTTCACGTGAATTTGTTCATAGAAAAAATTTCACGAAAGTTATTGGAAGAGGAAGTAGAAATTAATTTATTTTTGAATGAGAAAAGCATTTATTTGTTAATCAACCAAAAACATACGTCTCTCCTAAAAATGTAGATAATTGATTTCTTAATTAGAATAAACTTTTGTAAAGATAATAATATCTAATCTCCAAACGATAAGAAAAAATAAACAAGGCAAAAGTGATTTTCTCTTGTTCTTTTTAGCCAAAAGGGGTTATTTATACTCGTTATAATCTCCCCCAACAAAAATTTATTCAAGAACCATCCAATTTTCTTAACAAAATTCCACCACCTGCCCTGCTTTCTATTCCGTTTCATAATTTTGAAGTTGACTTCAATTTCTTTTCACCCAAGCGAAATGTGAGCTGGGTCGTGCTTTCTTTTCCTGATCGGGCGATATAAGATGCGTGGTCAGGATTGTCTTTCAGAAGAAAATCAAAATCTAAGTTTTGTTTTATTGGAGAAGAGACTGGGGGCTGGTTATCATTTGCTTTTTGATTGTGGATCGAGGGCATGGGTTTCTTGTGTTGAGTTTTCACTTGGGTGTCAATTAGCGAACTAATAATCTTCTTCAAATTTGGTGCTTTGGTGGTGATTAGACAGTTGTTATTTCCATTTGGAGAGAGGGAGAGAGACAGATAGAGAGAGATTTTTGTCTGTTTGTATGACGTGAATGATTTATTGTCTATTGCACTTGCCGGCAATTTTGTTGGACTCTTTAAAAGGGAAAATTTTCTTATTTTGTTCTCTCTCGCTGTTATGATTACTGATCAGAGACTTGGCAGGGGTACTTATTTCCTGGTTAATATTATATTGAATTGATATTCAAGCAACTCGAATTTGAGAGAGATTATTACATCTCTGGGCGTTTCGCGTATGCGGCTCTGTCATTGAATTTATTGTCTTTAATTTCAATTTGAAGAGGCGTTAAGACTGAGTTTGATTACTATATTTACTATACGAATTAGGTACAGTACTCTTCGAGACAGTGACCTTTTTTCCCCAACCTTGGCCATTCAATATATTTGTTGTGTTTCAACACTTCAGATTCTTGGAATTTTCCTTGCCATTTCTCATCTTCTTATCCCTTTCTTTATCTTCTACTGCATCTTCTGTTTTGGTAGGTTTTTTGCCCCTTTTTTTCCCCTTCATCAAGTCAAGTCCTGCAGAAAGTAATATGAGGTTTCGTTTCATGGTCTTTCTCTTTGTCTTTGCCTTTGCCTGTTGATTGGTTCAACGATGTCTTGATTGAATTTCCTTCCTTTCTTACCATTTCCTTCCCTTGCTTGGATGGTTCCTTTGTTTCTCATTACTATTTCTTTAAACTAGATGTAGATTCATATTCAGCAGGCCAGTTGGATTTCACCTCTCTGCCAGATATTTACCAAACACCTTTTTCTAATGTGTTTCTGGTTTCCATGGTTCTGTTTTGAGTTTCGATTGTCTGTGGTGTAAATTGCCTTAATTTCACTATGTTGAATGTCTGCAGGTTTTCTTTGTTTACATGAGCTTCCCTTTTATGGATATCATCAAATCCTTGACTCAATCAAGTTGGAATAATATCAGTGAGCAGGAGGATTTAACTTTTTAGTTGTATGGAGGGTGCTTGTGAGCTATCCAACGGACCCGGACATATGGATAATGGCCATGTGGTTTTGAGAAACTCTCCTTACCAGCCATGCGTTAAAAGATCACTACCTTGGCTTGATTTGAGAGTTTTTTATGTTAGAGTGAGCAAATGTGAGATTGATGATTCGACTCCTGAATACCTCACTGTTAACCATATTCAACTCGATCCTGACACTGTTCTTGAAGTGAATGGCGTTAGGACTAGCATCTACTCAGATGGCCCATCAACCCTTCTTCGAAGAGATCGACTGGATAAGAAATCTGAAGAAGCCACGTTTATAAGCACTGATAGTATAAGAATGACTGGAAGTGTGAAGTTTGAGGTCTTTGATAAGAATGTTCTTGTGCTATTAGGGGTTCTTACATTGTCAAACAGTAATGGTTTTAATGGGGAATCCGGAAGCCATGGTCAGAGCTGGAGCATGAATTGTGAATCAGACATGTCAGTGGGAACTGGCTTTCTCAAGGCAAGGCAACTTATGGTTCCAGACTCATCTTCACCTACGATTGAGGTATATGTTGCAGGGTCTTTCTCAGGGGCTCCTATTATCTTAACTAAGAGCTTGCTGCTTGGTCTCCGCAAGAAGCAAACTAGGAAGGGGGTGTTGGACTCCATTCCTGAATATGAGACAGATGAAGGACATAAAGATGATCCTTCCAGACTTTCTCTCCAGGTAATTTTGACTGAAATCTAGGGAAGTGAAGAACTGAAAGTCACTTATGCTTCAACCATTTTGTTTGTGTATTAATCTACTCTTCTATAGACCATTTAAAATGTTTCAACTCCAATTTTTTTATCACCATCAAGAAGAACTGTCTTGTAGTACTCCTTTAGTATAAATACCTTGATTTTCAACTAGTAGAATACTATTTTGTCACTCATAAGTGGATATAGTTATCTATTCTTTTAAAGCTTGTGCCTTCTTTTCCTATATCCATTTGGTATTTTCTGCTGTATACAAGAAAATTGCTTAGCAAATGCAAAAACAACATTTTATTTGATGGTTTTGCTTGTACTCTTGCAAGAGCTACTTGCCAAACATGCCCTCTGACACCTTTTCCTCCAATATAAGTTCACTTTACGAGTTAGAATTATAAATGATCCTTTTCTTTGAATTTTATGCATATCTAAAATCTGACCATGGAATGAGTAGGTAGTGATACTACTTGCTCATGTTGTCGACACATACAGTTCTATGTCACTTCCTGTCCTTCATATTATAGGGAATCTGCTAGTCCGGGACTTTTTCTGTTTTTCAATAAAAAAATTTTTAGATTCAAAGATCTGTTGATTTGCCTAGAATCACAATGATGATAAAGATTTATGTTTTTAAAAGAATCTCCACAAACAAACTGAATACTAGATTTACCAATGCTTAGACCTTGGCTCAAGCAGGTTTGGTAGGTCAAATCAAGTCTACCAAGCAATTAAAAGAATAAAAGGAAAATGGAACATATAATACTAATAACAATTAAGAGAGAGTTCCTACGTGTCTTTTTCCTGACCAGATTATTGACTGATCCAAACCTTGGTAAAGGAGTATTTTTGAAGCGTGAGTATTTGATTTTGATGCAATTATTGTGCTGATATAAGGTTGGTACTTTCCCTTCTAACAGTAAACTTTCATGGTTTATTTCACTTGAGTGTCACTTGACATAGTCTTCGTGATTGAATCTGCTTCTTACTTGTCACTGTGCATTCTGGTTCTGATTTCCTTATAATATTTGTAGATATCGGCTTATCCAAATCATAAACCAGAAAGTGAAGACTACAACGACCTCTACTCAGGGACAGAATGTTTTGAAGGTGAAGATGGTGAGCTCTCATGGTTTAATGCTGGTGTCAGAGTGGGTGTAGGCATCGGCCTGAGCATCTGTCTGGGAATTGGAATAGGAGTGGGATTGCTGGTTCGAACCTATCAGGGCACTGCTCGCAATTTGAGAAGGCGATTATTATAATCTACTATTCCCACTCATGTCATTCTAGTATAATAATGTAGTTTATCTGATCCTGTGGCTACTAACTTACCAGTGCTTCTGACATAACCCCCTTGTTGATTAGGAGCTCACATTCTTGGAATAAGGTATGGGTGACACATAAACTTCCAGCTTTTGATGGTTTTCTCAGGAGCAGCAAAGCCCGCCCTTGGAAATAAGAGAAGTAACTTTGTATTTTTATCTACCATAAAGAAGCAGGAATAGTTGGACATTTCCTGAACTTGACTTCATATATGATGTGGGCTTATTATGAAGTCAAGGTCCTCCCAATGTAGGTAGTTTGGTTATCTGCCGTTAAACTCAGTTTGAGTGTTTTTGAGTTTGTAAGCTTGTTTTTAGTAGAAAAGAAGTTTTGATAATGTAAAAGAGATGTTAATACAAAAACAGTTGAAGCCTTAAATTTCTGGGTTGCAGGTTTGGCGCAGTGGTCCATTCTAGAGGTCTTAGATCCCATGGATTGCATTTAATCCTTTTTAGGTTAGTGTCTTTGTTTAAATTACCTTTATTTACTCCAGCTGTGTAGGGACTATTAAGAACTGTACTATTGATAGAAAATGGTGGGAAAGTGACTGCGCCACCCAGTGTGGCTGCTATTCGCAGCTTGTGAATTGAAAAGCAAACTTGAATTGGGTCCTTACATTAGGTGATATACATGTAATATACATAACTTTTCATGTTTAAATTAGGTGGACGCTCATTCTCGTTGCGGGTATATTGCAGTGAGATATATAATTCTTATTTTGAGAAAGTAGAGAACTTGAATTCTAATATATACCTAATTTAAACATAAAATAAGTAAATATATACCTCAGAGACTATTACAGAAGGATAAGTAAAAAATTTCAATAACATATACCATATACACCTTTTCTTTGAGAACAAAAAAGACAGGAAAGAGCATGTAACACAAGAAAGACAAAGAGGGGTGATTTTTGCAGTGAATAACTAACTATATCACGTTAAAAACTTGGTATTAAAGTATATATAAATACATATATATATATATATATAGAGAGAGAGAGAGAAAGAGAGAGAAAGAGAGTTAGATGAAAGCAGTAAAGATTAAATGGATCCGGCAAAAATATTTACATTTCATGACTAAAGCGTCCGTCTTAGCAACATCAAAGAGAAGAAATTGCACAAATGACAGAGAGCCAACTAAACCTCTTCAAAAATAAAGGTTCAAGGCTTAAAAGCGGGAGGATACAATTGCATAAAAGCTGCAAGGAACAACAACCATTTGTAAAAAAAAAAAAAAACCAAACATCCAGCTTTCTATGTACAAGCTAAGCGGTTATATGATTTACACAGTATTCACAACCAAAGCCTGACCTCCTATGGTTAAAAGTTGCTACCAGGTGGTGCCAAGGCTTTTCATTCCACACCATCATCACCATAAGCTTTGCTATAAATCAAGACTGTCCAGCTGAGGGGGTCGAGTTGCACGACGGAACCAGGTATTGAATGCTGTAACCAAGTGGGGGCAATCTTCCACATTTCTGGTTGAGAAACTCAGGCACTGCTGCAGCAAAACTTGTGAATCTGATATTGGCAGTGTGGATATAATTCTCAGGAATGTCTCCTCCAGTTCCATGTACAGTGTCTTTAGACTCGCTGACATAGGTGACACATTCTCTTTGCACACTATCAGAACAGGAAGCCAATCTTTTACAAGGTTCATCCTAACCTGGAAATCAAAATGAAGCTAAGTAGAGGCCAACCATCTAAAAAATATAAATTATTTGAAGAAAACACCTCTTAGCAATATCAGTGACTAAGTCTCAAAGAGGCATATCTATCTTATCCGTGGAGTTAACTTCGGCTCAAGTCCCTTGCAGTGTTACCCAATACAAAGCTCAAAGCTCATGAACTACTTAGCATCAGCAATTAGACTGTAAAAATTCTTCCCTAATGATCTCCTAAATAAATAAAATAGTGAGTAATGCCAGAAAAAGTCCTTCCATAGCTCAGTAGTAGCATATGATATTTAAATTTAGAAATATAACACTTTTCACCTTTGATTCCCGCCATTCTCCTCATATCTTACATGTATTAACAATTGTTGCTAAAGATAGAAAATGAAAAAGATTGGAGACAATAAGCACATGCCAAGAAAGCTACAACAGTTGACAGAACCAGATTTGGCTGTTGTTTCAGACGGGAATAGTCATTTCTATTAAAACTTAAAAGGGAATTCAACTACAACAGCAGCTCGATACAAAAACTTGGCCAAGAATAATGAGGTAGCATGCAATAACACAGTTGGCAGGTAACTTGACCATGGTATCATCTCAACAAGCAAAGAATGATGAGAAAGAGGACATAATAAGTGAAAAAAGAAATAGTACTGTCAAATAATACAAAGATGTTTTAACTTGCAGATGCAGTCGTATAAATGATCTCCATGCAAAGTGCCGTGCTAATGCAGTCATATAATTACTAGGTAAGTGTAAGCTTTACTATCAGTACACTTATCTGTATATTTGCAGTTACTTATGAGTGAGCATTGACGTCTAGGCATAGCTCAATATCTCCAAGTACATAACAAATACAACCATCCTAAAGCCAGTTAACACAATGAGCCAAGTACAGCATAATCATGCTTCAATTGAATTTGAATTTAATTAATGGGGTAACTATTCCATTGAACACCATTCAAGACCATATGCTCCATAAGAAGTAAAGAAATCATTTTTCTCCTATGTGCTAGAAATCTTAAAATACCTCGAAACACAGATATCTTAAAATACTTTCCCCTTATAGTAATTTATGCTAGAATCAATTAACATTTCCCATCATTCTTTCAATAATCTTCCTCCTCATGTGTTTTAACCTTGGCAAATGAGTGTTTTGAAGCAACATTACATCAAAGAGAAAAGGTAATTTATGCTAGAATCAATTAACATTTCCCGTCATTCTTTCAACAATCTTCCTCCTCATGTGTTTTAACCTTGGCAAATGAGCGTTTTGAAGCAACATTACATCAAAGAGAAAAGGTGCAACTTTTTATCTCGAAGAACAAGAGATGTTCTCCCTTTTTTGCAATCCACAGCCTCGATTCAAATCTAGAGTCATCAATTAAGGAGGCAAAAAGCTTTCATTTCAAAGGTTGTCACATGCAAAAAAAATGATAGACATGAGACTAAATGTAACACCCAAATGTTATTATTTTTATTTTGTAATTATTTGATTTTTTTTTTTTTATTTTTAATTAATTTAATTTGATTTAATTTAATTTAATTTTATGAAAATAAAAATAATAACAATGATAAAATTGGGTAAAAATATTATTTGGATTTAATTGAAATTGATTTTGGAAAAAAGGGGTGAAAATTTAGATTATGGGAGTGTTTTTGAAAAGAAAATCGGAAACCGGGGGGTCAAAGCGCAATTTAGAAAAGTTGTACCACGTCAGCACCACGTCAGCAACCACATCAACAGCCCGGTCAGCAGCCCCGGCCAACCAGGACGTGCCGCGTGGCAAGGAAACGCTGACCAGGAGACGGGCCACGTGGGCGATCCGCGTGCGCGCGATCGGACAACCTAGATCCGTTCCCGCGCGCACGAACGACCCAAATCAAACGTGCGCACGGACAGCCCAGATTCACACGCACGGACGGCCCAGATTTAATCCCAATTAAATCGCGATCGAACGGTTCAGATTTAATTTTGATGGACGATTAAGATTAAAAGGCAAAGGGTACAAATAACCCCACCCACACCTGACCATGAAAACCCTAGCCGCCAGTGCCTCGCCGGAGAAGAAGAACCAGATGCCGGAGGAGCCGGCCGCCGCCGCACCAGGGAAGTTTCCGATCGTCGTCGAGGTAAATTTTCTCCCTTATGCTCGCTTTTCGATGCTGAGTCCTTTATGGCCAAACTGGAGCCAAACCACCGGCCAAACGGCCGAAAAACCCAGCCGAAGCCCAGCGGCGCCGCCGCGCCCCTCCTCGATTTTTGCCTTCGATGAGGCCCTTCCCGACCCCCGTTCGATGCAAATTTTATACCACTGTGATCACCGTTCTTTTCTCTATAGGTTGATAGGAGCCAAACATCAAAACGCGACTCACGCCGGAGGAGCAGCCGCACCCGAGAACACCGCCGCCGGTGAATTTCGGTTTTTCGTGATTTTTTGGCCCACCCGAAGGCCCTAGGGTTGTTTTATCGCAGATACCGATGCAAGTGTGGCCAAATTCGACCGAAAACGGCCGAAAACGGCCAACTCGAGGCGAATCGCCGCTGCAAGCGACGGCGCCGTCGCTGGAGCACGGCGGAGCTGCCGTGCTGAAATCGCGATATTGGCCGAAAGAGGCCCTAGGTCTGATTTGTGATTTTTTGGGACACGTGCAGGTACCGATAGTGCGTTTCAGTTTTCCGAAAAAAAATTCAGGGAAATTAAGGACAGCCTGTAGGCGCAATGTAGAGCCGTATTCAGATCCCGAAACAAGTAAAAACCCATCACCCTATTTCCTATCACGGTATTAAAGCTAAATAAATAATTAAACTGTACTGTGTGACTTTATATATGTATAATTGATTAAGGTTGCCAATGGAGCCCGAGTCCGATACAGTGTTGGTCTATTATTGTCTGATTTAATTTCCAGTATTAAATGCAGCATGATGTTTGATGTAATTATGTTATGGTCTCGTATACATGAATCATAATTTCTTTTATTATGGTTTGTATTATGGTGAACCCGATACTATGTTGTTTTGTTTGGTGTCAATTACTGGTTTACATGTTTGCGTATGATTGGATGAGTGAGACCAAGGAAAAAGGTAAAAAGGTTATGTGAATTGATAATTGAATAATGTGGACAGTTTGACTAGATATTTTGGGAGATGGTGGACGGACCGGGTCCGGAGGGAACCCTACCGGGAAAGTGGTCTCTCATACCGGACGGGGTATGGAGACCTTATGTGTTTTGGCGCCCATATCGGACGGGGCATGGGGACGACCCGTTTCACCCTCATACCGGACGGGGTATTGAGGTTTATAGTTTTGGCGCCCATACCGGACGGGGTATGGGGACGGCCCTGGAATCAGGTTGAAATGTTAAGGGTTCACGCGTAGCAGGACCCCCTATGGATCCCCATGGATACTAGTAGGCTGGTAAAAGAAGAAAATATGTTATTTAATGATTGAGATGCAAAAAGCGTGGTAAGTGTTATGTTATAAAGTTTATATGATTTCATGATAATGATAATATTATTGTTTTCATATGTTGCTTTCATGGATTTCACCGAGATAAGTGGACAATAAAGGTTTTCATGTTAATAAACGAGTTTGTTATAAATTATGCTCCATTGGTCATTTTTGTTTTCTATCCACATTTACTTCCGTGGCGGTAAGATAGTGTGATGTCTTTACTGGGCTGGTGTAACTCATTCTTTATTTAACCATTTCAGATCAGGAAGACATCGTTCCCGAGCCCGTTCCGCAGGAAGACGGCGAAGAGGACGCCTAAAAGCTCCATAACTATATTTATAGTTCTTATCTCGAGTATCTCTTTTAGTTAATTTGTTCTTTCATGTTTTGAGTACATTTTGGTTATTGTGTAAGGGATGTTAATCAAAATTTTTATTACGCTTCCGCATTTGATATTTTTAATACATATATTTCATTTAAATTTCCGAAACCGTTACACTAAATACTAAAGAAACTTCGTTATGGAACTCACCACCAGGAGGTCCCAATTTCTTCTTTTTTAAAAAAAAATAAAAATGGTAAGGAGGTTCCAATTTCTTTTTTAAGAAACCAATTCTGCCAGTTGAGTATTTTATTATCTATTACACCGATCATCTATAGTAGATGTAAAATTGCAAAAACTTTCCGGAGCGAGAATTACTTTATCTAAGCACTAAACACGCAGAGTGCGGTTTGGGAAACTTATGAGCTAATATCCATGATATGTATTCTTATGAGGAAAGGAAGTAAGCACCCTAGATTCTGACATCTCTATGTCAACAGTACTTAATACAACCCCATGGCTTACCAGGAAACTTATTCTGACTTTGTATCGGGAAAGTAGAAAAAACAAGAAGAATATTTCTAGTTCCCGCTACGATCTAGTACATAGTTAACAACTGATTTACCCCATGCATCAACAGTACCATGCTAATAACTTTCGCATCGAACAACCAAGATTCACTTCGAAACAAGATACAAATGTATACGAAGCCAGTACCTGTCTAGCAGCCAAAATGCTGCCAGCAGCAACCGCGTTGGCAAACTTTGAAGTGCATCGCAGCATGACAGCGGGCAGACCCGGGACGATATTCCTCCATGCATCATCCCGAAAGGCCCTCTGTAGATCCGCAGTGAATGCGGCCTGCTCACTCCACTCCTTGACCGCCGAATCAGCCACCCTCAGCTCATCATCCTCTCCACCAACACTGTAGAATGCCTCCCGTTGTCATGGCCGTGTGCAAATTTAGCCTCTGTATTGCTCCGTCTCGTTATGGTCCCTCTAAAATCCGGACTGGAGTACTCCTCCAAGCTCTCTTTGACAACCTTCAAGCTCGTCTCGAATGCCCTCTCCAGGACCCTCTTAGCTGACTCTTTAGAAGAGAAGTCTCTCAATAACTTGGCCACAAATGCCTTCACATAAGCCAAGTTAGGATGGTTATGAATCGCCGTTACAATTAATCCGTGGAGCATCTCCTCAGAGGAATCCTCTCTGGAAGGAGAAATCCTAGCAAGGAGCTCTCTCGATTCTTCCTCCCTCAAGAAGGGAATCAGGGCCAGTACTCTCATTTCCTCCTCCTCGGTCCACGGAACCGCTTCGAGGAACCTAATGCAGGACCTGACACAGTCATCAAAAAGAAGCTCCAGCGCCACCGGGAGTACGTCGAGGGCGGTAGACGGCGAGTTGATTGCAGCATCGAAATCATTGGTGTAGAGAAGCTGGAGAACCGCGAGGTGCGCGGCGATGGTTCCCTGATTGGCGGACACTGGTAGATTAATATGCGTGTAATCTTTAATATCCGCAGAGGAGGAAAGGGAAGTGTTAGCAGTAGGTCTGTGCCATCTATCAGAGAGAAGGGCGGCGAAGTATTTGGAGCGACGAAGGACGTGAGAGTGGAGATAGATCTGTACATCGGATGGGTCAGCATCGCGGTCACGGGCAGCAGAATCGAGGGAGGAATCGTAGGGGAACGGTTCGAGGAAGAGACGGAGGAGGAGGTCCGCCGTAGCAGGATCGTTGAAGGAGGCGGGGGAGGAGGAGAAAGTGGGTGTGGACCTGTGATCGAGGATGGGTCGGACAAAGGACGAGGAGGAGGGGGTGCGACGGAGCTTGGCAGCAAAATCGGAAATGGATCTCTGGTCGAAGGAGTCGAGGAACAGAGAGGGAGTGGGGTGGCTCACGCGCTGTCGCTTCTTGGAATTGCCAGGTGCCATGGATTTGCGAAAGAAGAAGATGCGGAAATGGATTGAAGGGGGGTGGGGGCGAGGAGCAGTGGGTTTGGAGGAAGAAGGAACTTGCTTTGTTTTTAATCAGCGATCCCACTATCACGGCGAGTGACTTGTCACCGTCTGATTTGAAGAGGATAGGATAAGATTGTGTGCGTGGGTAAAAAAATATCTTACAGGCCCAACAGGTAACCAAGTTGAGATTTGGGCCCAATATGTTTTGTCTGAAAAATTGTTCAGAAAGAGAGGGGACTCTTGTTGCCTAAAGTTAAACCCCAGTGGTCTCTTATGATTTTGATTAAGAGAATTTAATAAGCACACTTAGAGCTATAATTACGTTTAAAAAAAAAAAAAAAAGACTCTGGGGAAAGGAGAAAAAAAGGAAAAGCATAGCTCTTAGAATTATTAAAACAGTGGGTAATATTGTAATAAAGCGTAAAATAAAGCACTAAAATGGTAATGATGATTGTTAGGTTCTCTTTTTCGGCACATAAATAAAATGAGAAAAAGAACGGAGAGGACGGACGTGTGAGACTTAGTTGTCGACGTGCAGTCACCACTACGCTCTGCAGTGCGCACGGCCACCACCACTTGACTCGAGCTTCTCTCGGCCCATTGGATTTGTTTCAACATCGCACTGATACCCCATCAAGAAACAAACACAGGCGTTGGCTATTTCGACAAAATAAAATGTTGGATGTAACGCAATTCGAAATCCTAACATTTTGAACGCACGAAAATTTCACGGTAATCATTAATGTTCCCCCTCCCGGGGGTCCCCACGCCCGTGCACCGCCAAGACTCAAAATCGCCCTCCTCTTCTCCAGCTATTTACAATATTGCCATTACCAGAATATTTAACATTATTAAATTATATTATTAATCACCGAGCACAGTCGCTGCCAGAGTCAAAACTCATGCGAATGTAATTGCTTAATAATTAACTAATTATTATTAATCACTAACCCCCTTCCCAATTCATCACCCGCAACGAACATTTTTAACTTTCATTTTCGTGAACGTTGATGGTAAGTAAATGTAGTTTATTTATTTATTTATTTAATACACGTGTCTGACTATTATTGGTCGAATTCATCCTTGGCATTTTCCGTAATTATTCGTCACATCAAACCCCATAAATGGTACAACACCGTCAGTTAATTTACCTTGTCTTCTTCACCCTCATGTATCCGTTAGAAGCCCCCCCCCCCCCCCCCCCCCCACGCTCTCCCCTTCTCTCAGTTTTCTCTCTCTCTCTCTCTCTTCTTCAAAACTACCGCACCTCCTTCACTACACCAGTCGCCTTTTCCTCTCTTCTAACACAAACTCCCCCCAACAATACATATTCTCCCTTTCAAATTTCACATTGCCGGGAAAATCCCCTGCTTTCCCGGATACCAAATGTCGGTCCCCGGCGACTCCACGCCTTCCAACTCTACCGCCTCGCTTCCTCACAGGCTCTCCTCCAAAACCCCATTTCTCAGTCTAAAGCTCTATGTGGTCATCGCAATTCTCTCTGCCTTCTTGCTTTTAGTTTCTCTTTTGATCTTCCTGTGCGTTAGCCTGAGGCGCACCTCGCGCAAGCGCAGAATGCTCCTGAAGCAAAATTCCGGGTCCATCCCTCCGGTGTCCAAAGAGATCGTGGAGATCAAAACTGTGGGTGCATTCGTAAATTCGGACGAAGACAAGGGCAAAATCGGAAATGCGGACTCGAAGAAGGAGGAGATTGGCGTCTTGGTGGAGGAGATGGAGATTGGTAAGGGAGGGAAGAAGGGGAGGAGTGAGGGAGAAAGTAGCGGCGGCGGCGATGGCATGTCCACTACGAGCAATGAAGTGGCGGTGGAAGCGATCGGCTGGGGCCGGTGGTATAGCTTGAAGGAGCTAGAGACTGCAACCCGTGGCTTCGCGGAGGAGAACGTGATCGGTGAAGGAGGATACGGCGTCGTGTACCGTGGTGTCTTGCAGGACGGCTCCGTTGTGGCTGTGAAAAATCTTCTCAATAACAAGTACGTAAAGTTTTTGATAGATACTTCTTGGTCTCTGTTTGTTATGCATGGAAAAATTCCTGGATGCGTAAGTTATTGTTTCAAGCTTCCGTTGATTCAATTTGTTAGCACACTTTTCCAGGTTCTGTATGTTTCCCTGGAAATTATCATCAAGGTTAATTTAATGCGGAATCATGGATTATGATAATGATTATGTTTTGTTTTGGTCAAAGCAAAGGGACGATGTTTCAGGATTTCTTGCTTGCCTATTTTATGTTTGTCTAGATCCAAGCTTTATCGTTAAATGTTCTGTCTTTTGGCTTTTTTTCTTTCCAAAATTATCTTGGACTCCTGGTACATCGTCCATCTGGACTCTTTTTTTGGTGTATATGTCGGTATATCTACATATATATACATGCAGTTTCTTTAGTCTGGAGTACTTGGAAAAAGTAAAGTGGTTACTTTGTTCTTTGTTGGCTTTTGTTCTTTTTCTTTTTTTCTTTATCTTTTACTAGGCGATATAATTTTCATATATCACTCAAACTTTCTTTTGCTAATTTAATCTGTCATATCTCATTTCAGAAAATTTTTTTAAAAAAATTAATCTGTCATATGATCTGCTCAGGACAGAATCAATGGAAGAAAAAGGAAAGCAACAAATAGTCTTGACCAGACCACTAAGAATGGATAAATTTCTTCACTAGATCTACTCTTTTCCTACTTAAATTGACTATTTTACAAACAAAGATCACCAAGCAGTGTGAAAATTTAATTGCTCTTTTCATTAAAAAAAAAAAAAGGAAAAAGAAAAGAAGGTTTCTTATGCAAATTTTAATGTTTGTGAAAATGTTTAGTGCTGATTGGTATTAAAGTTTGAAAGATTTGCTAAGCAGAAGTAAGTATGGTGTGGCAGGGGTCAGGCAGAGAAGGAGTTCAAGGTGGAAGTTGAAGCTATTGGGAAAGTAAGGCATAAGAACTTGGTGGGTTTGATTGGATACTGTGCTGAAGTTGCTCAAAGGTACTACCCTCCACATGCCCACAGGACTTAGAAATTGTAACTAGAAATGAACTTGAGATAATACTTTTATATTTTGTGGTCTAATTTCTGTGCTGAAACTTATACTCTCTGTTTCTAGGATGCTTGTATATGAATATGTTGACAACGGCAATTTGGAGCAATGGCTGCATGGTGATTTAGGGCCTTACAGCCCTCTGACATGGGATATCCGAATGAAGATTGCCATAGGGACAGCAAAAGGGTACAGCATTAACATAATAAACTACTCAAGCATCTGGCAAGAACTGCATTACTAGAAGAGTTATGTTTTACTCAAGCATCTGAAAAGTGTTTTGCTTTATGCAGGTTGGCATATTTGCATGAAGGATTGGAACCTAAAGTCGTGCACCGTGATGTAAAATCCAGTAACATTCTGCTTGATAAAAAATGGAATCCAAAAGTATCAGATTTTGGTTTGGCGAAGCTATTAGGATCTGAAGCAAGTTATGTGACTACACGTGTAATGGGAACTTTCGGGTTGGTTCTCTCCCATAAAAACAATATCTAATAGCATCAATGTATCAAGTGATAACAATGTGTCAGTTGCAAGAAATTGGTTTCTATGCATGTTTACAACTGAATTCTAATCAATTTTCTGCAGGTATGTTTCTCCTGAGTATGCAAGTACGGGGATGCTTAATGAGGGAAGCGATGTTTATAGTTTTGGAGTTCTACTTATGGAGATAATTACAGGAAGGAGTCCTATTGACTATTCAAGACCAGCTGGAGAGGTGAAAATACACATTTAACCTGTATATCTAATTTTCTATCTTGCTGTGTAAACATGAAGGCAAACAAAAATTAAATTGTCTTATTTCAGACAAACTTAGTTGATTGGTTCAAAGGAATGGTTGCTAGTCGCCGCGGAGAAGAGGTTTTAGACCGGCGTATAGAAGTTCAACCCTCGTCAAGAGCTCTGAAAAGGGCATTACTTGTTTGTTTTCGTTGCATTGACTTGGATGCCATCAAGCGGCCAAAGATGGGGCAAATTGTTCATATGCTTGAGGTGGATGACTTTCCCTTTCGCTCTGTAAGTGCCATACTGAACCTTCTTTTTGCTATCTGTTTCAACAAAGCCTGTACTATTATACCAGAGTTATTGGTTAGACAGTCACTATTTCATTGGTTTGGCCATCCCTTCCTTGCTTAGATTTGTTCTATTACACAAGTCAATGTGTTCTTCAAAGAAAGTCATGTTAGCAAGGGATCCTTTGCATTGTTCTCAGAGTTTTGATTCCTTATAATCGAGACGAATAGAAGACACCTCTGTTCCTGTGCCTGTGTTTAAATGACAGCTTCAGTTCGTCACTTGTGTAACTGTGGTCGAATCTTGTTTAAGCAATCATTTTGGTTTCTATGCTTTTATGTAGGAACAGCGATTGGCCCGAGCAACGGATCATCCTCCTTATCATTCATCTGCAACCAAGAAAGCTTCGCATCCGACTATGCATGCTGAGGGAGATGATTTGGCTCCTGTTTAGTGTTTAAGGGATGGTCAGTGTACTTAATTTGTAGTATAAGTCTTGAAGATTAGTATACTGAGAGAAAATTATACACTCGATGTTCATACATGATTTTTGGATACTAAACGAGCCTCTGTAAATATGCACTTATATTCTGAAATACATGAAAACTTTATGAGTCTTTCTAGGGAAGCATGTATATCCATCCATCTACTAAGAATCAGTTTGGTCCTAGCGAGATGAACACAACGTGGCAGATCTTTGTGTTGCTTTCAATGAGATTGTGATGTGAATGTTGCTGGTATGACATTATTTCTCTCGCAGGGGCAAAGGCCAATTCGACAATATTGCCTGCGTGACCCGCGTATTGTGCTTGTCTTGCAAACATTAAAATGCAATTGTGGGTAATATCACCTGTCAACTGCCGTACATACACAGAGATATAAAAGTAATTATAAGGTGGTGTTTGGTTTAATTAGTTGGGTAGATGTCCATGATGGTTGAAAATGGATGCAAAAGTTGACATAGTAATGAAAGTAGTCGCTTTAGGAATCGAGGGATATTGGGCCATAAATTATAGGGTCGTTGTCCTTGCCACATGGGTAAGTAGTCCTTGCCACAATGGGGTGCAGATCAAAAGTTAAAAGGCTGAAATATGAAATACCACTGCTTAAAGCAACAGGTATCAGAAACCATTTCTTGCACGCCGACTAACCAACCAGCTAATAATAATACCGATACTGAAATAAAGAAGGGAATTTTGATGAGACTAGTAAATAGGAAGACACATCTCACATGGAGGTTGGAGTATTTTTTATAAACCATTGTTGGTATACGAGCTATTTAAGTAGAGGGAGACTTTTAGATTTGGATGAGGCTATTAAATAGGAAAAGCCACATCTATACGGAGATTTGAGGATATTCTTGATGATAAACCATTGTTTTCTTTCT